TTGTGTAGAGCTTGTCATTGATGCCAGTTCGTCCTTGATTATCTCACACAGGTTGGGAGGAGATGGACGGACAGACGCAATGGTTGGGTTGCCTGGAATAAGGCCGTGGAGTTCCTCTCTGACAATTGTGCGGATAAGGGCTTGCAATTGATGCTGCCCGGTAAAGCGAGCGTCGCAGGAAGTGTGTGGAAGGCGCATGGAATAAAGCGTGTCTAGGCGTTGGCATATGGTGGTGACGTCCCGGACGGTAGTTGGGTTCTGAATAACAAGAGCATTGAAGGCCACAGAGTTGATACCTTTCAGTAGGTGTCGGATGCGCTCCGCCTCCGTCATGTCATTTTGTGCTCGGCGACAGCAAGCCAGAACATCTTCAATGTAGGACGTATATGATTCGTCGTCCCCCCGGATGCGGGTTGCGAGCTTCTGTTTCGTTACCGCAGAGCATCCTGCAGATGTGCCAAATACCTGGCGGAGATGCCCCATGAAGGCCGAACAATTGGAGAAATCGTTCTCGTGGTTGTAATACCAGGTTTTACCGATGCCATCAAGGTAAAAAGGAACGTAGTGCAGTTTGTGCGCCTCGTCCCAATAGTTAGACATGCTGGTTCGATCATAACTGTCCATTCATTCTTGGACGTCTTCGCCGCGAAGGCCGGAAAATACCGGAGGGGCTCGGTGAGAGGTACTCACGGTGTAGTGAAGCCTAAGTGGCTGAGAAGGAGCGGTTGCAGCAGCGGACGCTTTGGGTTCTGCCATCGCTGTTGCTTGAGGGCACAACCGTCGACCAGACAGGAGTTCCAGGGGTGACGGGTAGAGCAGGAGGACGTGGGAACCAAAGCACGCTCCACCACTTATGAGACCACGTCCGGTACGGCAGTAACCAGGTTATCTCTATAATCCAGGTGCACGAGCCGAAGAGACCCAGCCCGGGTGACACACGATGATGATCACTACAATGGTTTCGTCATACAGATGAAGATGAAGTACGTAGTCAGCGCTCACAATATATATGAAGAAGGTGTGTGTAAAAAACGTAAACAATATTTAATCTGAGCTTTAGGCCTTTAAGAAAGATGAAGGCAGGTCCTCGGCCGAAAGCTCAGAATAAACATTGTTTATGTTTTTCTCTATGACTTTCTTCTATATATTTAATCGAGTTAGCCAGGAATATTGTATTGAAGCTATATATATTTAATCGCTGACCATTGCATAGATAGCCTAACACTATCTTCGCAAACATGTCAAGCAAGAGCCTCACTGCATTATGTCATACAGGGGACAATCGCATATCTCGATTATGTGTAATGAACCAGAAGTCCCCACCTTGGTGGCACCAGTAGCATACCCACGGGGTAGCATGAATGAATATTCAAGAAATGGCGGTAACAAATGATTCACTGACCTCAGCAGCACTCTTGTCATTACTACTATGATTGCTTGTATTATCATTACCACTACATGTGTCTTCTGTGGTAATCACTCTGCAGATGCAGGGAAAATGCACCTCGTAAAAGGGATATCCCTTCTGTAATACACCCCACACACTTTCCATGTTTATATAGATGGACTTTATAACAAAGCATTAAATGGAAAATGTAGATTTAAAAATTGGTACATCCCATGTACAGTGGGAATCGATGATATGCAAAGCACGAATGAGAAATGCTGGTATGTCACTTTAAAATCAGCACAATGTTACAAGATGGAGGCAAATGATGTCGTACATGTCTTTAGTGTCATGATTATTATGTTTGGATGTGACGTTTACCTTCGTCATCTATTCACATCCCGTGATACCAACTTTGATTGATATGTAGGGTTTAACGTCCCAAAACCACCATATGATTATCAGAGACGCCATAGTGGAGGGCTCCGGAAATTTCGACCACCTGGGGTTCAGCGTGCACCCAAATCTGAACACACAGGCCTACAACATTTCTGCCTCTATCGGAAATGCAGCCGCCGCAGCTGGTATTAGAACCCGCGACCTGCGGGTCAGCAGCCGAGTACCTTAGCGACTATACCACCGAGGCGGGGCTGTGATACCAACTTTAGTATATGTAGAGCTAGCGAAACGGCCGCGAGACTGCTATGAGCGTAGTACGTTGTCATGTTCTTACATGACTGGTGTGTCAGGATTATCATGTTTGCACCAGTCATATATTTCATCATCCATTGACGTCATGTCACACCGAATTTGGTATATGTGGAGCTAGCGAAACGCCCGCGAGCGCATCATGCAAGGCCCCATATACTCCAATGTAGCATTTACGCGCGCGCATGCTCGGCACAGCGACGCCACGTTAGCAAAACGCGAGCACCCTATAGCCTGACGCCAGGTGCGACCAGCGTTCGTCGGTGCGTACAAACGGCAACCGGCGCTACATGCTGCATTTTGCGCCGATGTGTTACCCAGACAACATTGCGTCTCCCTCTTTTTGTGACGGAGGGACGCCGGACGTGCTGAAATGCGCATGCATCAGAGCAACGTAGCGCGGTGCGCGCCTGCGAGTATATGGCAGGACCAACGCCGGCGTGACGTGACGAAATGAATGCCGGGGAGCACGCGCACTGTGTCATGTCAAAATGTGTTGGCGCCTTTACTGTGGCATATAGTCATTTTCTCACATGACATGCATCTCATGATTATCATGTTTGCACTAGTCACATACCTTCGTCATCTATTGGCGTCACGTAATACCAAATTCGACATATGTGAAGCTAGCGAAGGCCGTGAGCGCATTATCAGTGTGGCATGTAGTCGTGTTGTTACATGACACGCATGTCGTGATTATCATGTTCGGATGTGTCATTTACCTATGTCGTTCGCTCGCATCGCGTAATACCGAGTTTGGTACATGGGAAGCTAGTGAAACGGCCGCGAGTGCATCATAAGCGTAGCATGTAGCCAAGTTGTTACATGACACGCATCTCATGTTTATCATGTTTGCACCAGTATCATACCTTCATCATTCATTCACATTCTGTAATAACAAATTTGGTATAAGTGAATCTAGCGAAACGGCCGCCAGCACATCATGAGCGTGGCATGCAGTCATGTTGTTACATGACGCGCATCTCATGTTTATTATGTTTGCCCCAGTATCTTAACCTTTGTTATCCATTCACGTCCTGTAATACCAAATTTGATATTTGGTATTACAGGAAGTGAATGAATGAATCTGATATTTGGTATTACAGGACGTATTACGTATTTGGTATTTGGAAACTGGTAGAGCATGGCAATCATGCCATGCTCTACCAGTTTTGCAACATGTCATGTGTACGATACCACTGCAAGAGCTGCAGAAGCATGAAATGTAAATCATGATATTCATGACATAGATGTCACGATTTTCATGTCATGACTAGTCAAATATGTTCTTCATACAGTCAAGTTATGCCATACCAAGTTCGGTATTGATATCATTATGACTTGCCATCCTGTGTCTCATCCCGAATTAGAATTTTTGCTGACGACTGTGTGATTTACCGAATAATTTCCTCTGACAATGACCGGAAAGCTTTGCAAACTGATCTAAATGCTATTAATGCATGGTGCTCATCTTGGCTAATGACCCTAAACTGCTCTAAAATGAAGTCTACATCTTTCAGTAAACACGTAACCCGGATTCCTACCTCCTACGTGTTGAATAATACTACTGTTGACCTCGTCTCCACTTATAAATATCTTGGAATTCATTTGCAACCTGATCTGACTTGGCACTACCATATAAAACTCACCCTGGCGGCTGCTAACCGGTCTTTCGGATTTCTCAAGCGTAACCTTAAACAGGCTCCTCCTAACATACGCAAACTTGCATTTACTACACTAGTACGTCCAAAATTAGATTATGCATCAGCCATTTGGGATCCCGAACATGCTTACATCATAAACGACATTGAATCACTGCAAAATCGTGCCGCTCGCTTCATATTTTCAGATTATTCACGTCATTCCAGCGTCACAGCACTAAAACGCCGAGCAGAGCTACCCGAACTATTCCACCGTCGCAAACTTGCACGCCTATCACTTTTCCATAAACTTTATCACCACGTGTCACTTCACAGCGATTTCTTCGAGCCACCTGTTGTTATTTTTCCTCGCCGCGATCACCCCTACAAAGTTAAACGCTTAAACTGTAAGTCATCTGCTTTTTCCAAGTCATTCATTCCGCGTACCACAATCCATTGGAATAATCTATCATCACACTTTGCCTTAGAAAAAAACGCCACGAAATTTCAAGAACTAATTCAAAATACTGACATCATCTAACTTTTGCTCTTTTACTTGTTTTTCCCTCTTTTCTCTAACGTGCAGAGCACACGTGTAGTATTTTTACCTTGATTCAGCTTATTTGAGGTGTGATGAGTGAGTGTATATTTTTTATTCGTTTTTGAGTGTACGCGTTTTTTTAAGTGTATTGATTATTTTTTCTTGCATTTTCATAGGTTGTTCACTGTGTACTTATCTGTATTCCAATGATTTGTTGCCTATTCTTTTCTCTATTTTTGCTGTCTTTACCAATTACTTGTTATAACATATATCTCAACCTTAGTCTGTATTTAATTTGAATTTTTTTACCTTTTCTTTCGTTTTTGACGTTTATTGTTTGTAATTTTGCTCATGTAACCCCCCCTATGTAATACCCTCTCACGAGGGCCTTTAGGGGTATTATGAATAAATAAATAAAATTATCGAAACGGCCAGGAGAGCTAAAGGTCGTAGGCGGCTGTATAGATAGATGCGCTCAAAGACGCCTAAGTTCGCTAAAAAATGCTTCGCATTTAAAAAGGGGACAACTGTAATAACAATTATGTAATGGTTGCTCCACTATGCAGATCTACGATGTAACTGCTGAAGTTTACCTTAACTGAATGTTGTTTTTTTCTAACCAACTAAGTGCTCGTATATCGTTCCTTATATTCGTATAGTTGGTTTAGTTTACTGCTTGGGTAATCGAATCATGACTGAAGGCATTTTATCTGGCACATTCTAGTGGTCCTGGCTGATGGCGTTGCTGGTGGGCCTACAGTTTGCGCCGCTGTCCGAGGGCCTGTGGCGTCGTGGTGAGCCACCACACAACCGGCAGAATAGACTGCGGACCCTATTGCGTATGCCTGGTGTAGAGCCAACCCAGGTAAAGCTTCATTGCAAATCACCCAGAGTGTGAAGGGGAAGTTGTAACTCTTACTTTCTATTAGCATCCACCTACTAGCTTTGAAAAAGGAATATATCTCCTTTGTCTCTCTTTCTTTTTAAATGTCATAAGACACAGAAGTGAGATCTGTCAATCAAGAAGCCTCCATAAAATAGTGGTTGTGAGTGTTCACTGTAATAAATTTGCCCACCCACTCTTCTGTCTGTGTGATGGCAGTAATGTGTTGTGTTTCTGACCTTGGCGCATATTCTGGGCACCCATTCGTGGTACTGAATTTCGCTCATGGAATATAAGTTCTAAGTCATATAGTTTGATGTGGTTAGATGTTTTTATATGTCTAGGTATTACAGAAAGTGTGCCTAATATGTCAAGTCCATGTGCATTGCATTCATTTATACATACCAGCAATATTGTTTCATAAATTGATGTTTTAATTACATAGCAAAACTTGAGTCAGCTGCAGGGTTTTGTATATGTGCAGGCTGTTGCAGTGAAAAACAGGAGCGAGGTCATTCTCAAGAATTAACTTTTCTTGAACAGTAATTTTTTGACGATGACAGCTGGAAGAAGATGAGTCTTTTTCTGAACATTATCCAACACCTACATCTGCTTTGTCACCTGCCAGATTCCAAGTCTTGAATTCTCTATTTGCAAACACTTCTTGACTCTACAGATATCATTTGCATTAATTGGATGCCTTGTTTTGCATTTGCCAATAAATTATATCACCTCTTAGCTTTTGTTGCATATGGTAGTAATTCTAAGGTATATTCATTATTTCCAAAGTGTTCGTACCCAAATGAATAAATCGTAGCATAACCTCTAATCTGTCCCACTTAGCGTTCATGTCTCGCTCAACACTGCAATTTCTGGCATGTTGAACCTTTATGTGCTGGAACAATGAATAACCTCACCACATAGCCATACTCTCGGTGCCAATGCTTCTAGGATTGAGTTGCACATGATAGAGTAATCTTAAATATAAGAAAGGCATATCTGAGCAGCTTTGTATGACACCTCTAGCAATATTTCTACAACTTAGGTTTCCTGTGATTAACATTCCATTATCACACAGGTTTTTTTTTTACCCTTTGTAGGTTCACCCATGTTTTTGACACGGTGATATCAAAACCAGCTCTAGTATACTGATATGAACTACAAAAAACAGTATGAAATAAATTTAATTAAAATCAACCCAATAGTTTACTGACATGCAGTATGTCTCATGAAAGTGTTTTCGGAAGTCATGAAGGCACCGTTTGCATGAACTGGTGACACAGCAAAAGCATGTGATCCAGTGAATCACAAGAGGAAAGTTGTGTGGACCTCATTTCAGCAGGAGAACAGCACCTGAAAGTGCACCTCTTACGAGTCATCTTAGGGTTGTGGTCTGTTCCTGTAAAGCTTACTTCACCACATGCATAAACTACCTCTTTAGTCCATCTATCACTCTGTGGTTTTGCTGTCGAAATTTTTCAGTACAGATGTCCCTGAACATGTGGCTACTTTTCGAGAAGTACATGATATCCAGTAAAATATTTGCTCACATCAATATCCAGAATCGCTGAGGGATGAGTGGGACAATAACTGCGACCCATTTACGGGTGTTCCCCCCGTACGAAGATGCGGGTGGCATTTTTTTGTGTGTGTTCTAAGAGAGCCTCGACTACTTATTAAAAGTATTTTCGGACCATGCTCCAAACGTGTTGCAAAGGCCCTTTAATTGAACACACGTTAATAGCTTTTTTCGTGGGAAAAATTCACAATATTTTTACTTCTTTAATTGCGTCGTTTGTCTTATAATGCAATGCTGCTCTTCATTGAAGTGCGCATTACAGTCCTTCTTGTTTTAGTCACAATTAACACCTTTTTACTTCTTTTATTCTTGCAGCCAGATGATTACTATTGTACAGCATATAATTTAAGTTATGAAGAAGCCTACATAGGTGAGATTGCAAGCATTCTCTCACAAGTTTATCTGTTCATGGCAATGTCTTGAGCAGTATTTCACGAGCTGTTGGCATCTTGATCCTTGTATTGCAGTAAACTTTAAGCCGAAGCCAAATCATAGCACAGCAAGTCACATGCTGCTTATCGGCTGTGGAAACGTCTTCAGGAAGGATCACCTTCACCCTGGATCCTGGTCAGTGTTATTGTGATGTATTGCTAGTCTTATCAGCATATAATTGTATGCTAATTCTAAAACAGCTTTTCTCAGATTCTCAGCTTTTTTGTGTCAAGGCTTTGGTTCACATCTTGTAATATTAAGAACTGTATGATCTATGAAAAGGTGCGATAACTGACTTTTAAAGTGCCTACTTTCATTAGCATGATGTAAAGCTTACCAGTGTTTAAACCCAGAATGGTAACATGTAAAAATATGTTAAACACTTATCATCAATCTATTTTGATCTGTGGCGACAATGTACGCAGTGGGAGGTGAGCGCAACAGCAGTAAATGTTTATGCCTATGCGTGTGTACGCTATGCACTTATGCTCAACATGTCCCGCCAAGCAGCACCGCTTCATTGTGCACCTCCTTTTACCTCATAAGCAGCACAGCATGGGTGGATAATAATGTACATACCCCGCAGGTCGCAAGATGGAATCCTGGCCATGGCGGCTGTATTTTTTATGTAGGCGGAAATGCTTGCGGGCCCATGTACATAGATTGTTAGAGACCCCCAGATGGCGAAATTTCAGGAGCTCTCCACTGCTGTGCCTTTTATAATTATATTGTGGTTTCGGGATGTTAAACCCCATCAATAATAATGTACATACCTAAATTTTGAGCCCTAATTATAGTACACTTGAAAGCATTGCTCTAGGTACTGCAAAGTGAATGACTCAATAATCTAGCTTCTATTAGGCTGTGCGGCATGCTGGCTTATTGTGACTTTCAAAAGTGATATGGGTCATTTTATTTCAGGTGTACCCGGTCAATTTTTGACCATTGCTGATCATGCTAAAAAAAATCTTGCAGGAATATGAGAATGTGAGAAGAAGTTATTGAGGAGTTATATTTCGCAAAAAAGTTCTGTGTGGTTTAGAGGGCGCTTCGAACTTTGGACACCCGAGGGAAACTGTGTCACTCCAAATAATTTATATAATAGTACTGGTTTGAGTAATTAGTACAAAACAATCTTTTCATTAATTTAATGTTGCTACTTTTTTATGATATGATAGTATATTCATTTGCATTTTAATTTTCTTGCTTTTTCATTTTGGCGAAAAATTGCACATTTGCCGTTTTTTATAAAAAGTGCAAACTTTATTGCCAAAATATGTGTACACTTTCTGCTTTACATGGCCCCGCCGCGGTGATCTAGTGGCTAAGGTACTCGGCTGCTGACCCGCAGGTCGCGGGTTCGATTCCCGGCTGCGGCGGCGGCATTTCCGATGGAGGCGGAAATGTTGTAGGCCCGTGTACTCAGATTTGGGTGCACGTTAAAGAACCCCAGGTGGTCAAAATTTCCGGAGTCCTCTACTACGGCATCTCTCATAATTAAATGGTGGTTTTGGGACGTTAAACCCCACAAATCAATCAGTCTGCTTTACGTGCACCTATATTAAAGGACAGGTAGATTATGACAGGTAGATTGCCACTATCCCTCAAGAGGAAGGTATATAACAGCTGTATCTTGCCGGTACTTAGCTACGGAGCAGAAACCGGGAGACTTACAAAGAGGATTCAGCTTAAATTGAGGACGACGCAGCGAGCAATGGAAAGAAAAATGGTAGGTGTAACCTTAAGAGACAAGAAGAGAGCAGAGTGGATTAGGGGACAAACGGGGGTTGAGGATATCATAGTTGAAATAAAGAAGAGGAAATGGACATGGGCCGGGTATGTAGCGCGTAGACGGGATAACCGCTGGTCATTAAGGGTAACTAACTGGATTCCCAGAGAAGGGAAGCGGGTTAGGGGGAGACAGAAGGTTAGGTGGGCAGACGAGATTAAAAAGTTTGCGGGTATAAATTGGCAGCAGCAAGCACAGGACCGGGTTAACTGGCGGAACATGGGAGAGGCCTTTGTCCTGCAGTGGACGTAGTCAGGCTGATGATGATGATATTAAAGGAATAAGGTACTTTGGGAACAAATGAAGCAAAAATGTTGCCAGAATATTGTGTGCAAAGTAGGAAAAACCAGCATTTTGACTCGTATTGCGGCCTAACTTTTGCAATGCAGAGTTCAAAGTAAAAATATTGGTTTTACATTGTTGCATAGTATAGTTTGTCTTTAAAATAAGCAGAAAGTTTGAAAAGAGCAGGTTTTTTTTTAAGGGAGAAAATAAAAATCACAGTTTCGCCAAAAGGGCAAAGCAACATATGTGAACGTTTTATGAAGCAAGGCTAGCATCTTTAGGAGCAATATTAATTGCAGTAAACATGCACTTGCTAAGTAACCAAGTTTCTTGCGGCGTGACCACAGTAGACCACAACAAGGCTCATGCGTAGTGGCAGTGTTGTTGAGAAGCACCTCTCGTGCGCAGCGCATGCTGGTATTAAGGGCTATACATCATGTGTTGTCGCTGGTGGCAGTTTGTTACGTGTAGAATGCATCTATATGTGGAGATGCCCTCCCTCTGGTGTGCTCGTATGGATAGTAATACAAGACCCACATGGCGAAATAAATGACGCATTTAATCATATAATATTCAGCACAAACACTGGTGAATATAAATGAAACATTGTTCACTCGATGACAGCGACAATCGCTTTGTGGTCACTGAAGATGTTGGCAATGGCACAGCTTCTGGATGAAAAAGCGCAAGGTACGGGCCTGCTGCGTCTAGCGGCTTTCTGTGGGAGAACGCATGTCAGCCGTAGAGGCAGTTGGGGCCGCTACAGCGTAAAGGGGCGAGGACGGTGGGACAGGGAAGTGGGTGGCGGCGGCTCCCTCGGATCAGCAGCCGCAGCAAATCAGCTGGCGGTTGTCACAACAGTGACCTACTCAGTCGTTTTAATCAGTGTTTTTTAATATCATTTATCACAGTGATGACATATCGCCTATTTAGTGCAGTATGTAGGCGCTATCTACTTAAAAAGCCAATTGAATTTTCGTGTGAGTGCAGAGCACCTGAGATTTTTTTTTCCCTCTGAACCTGCTTCTTGCTTTGAGACTGAAAGAAAAATCTACAATGCATGTAGCAAAATTATATGGCGCTGAATGTGTGACAAAGTGGGTGCTCTATTTATTAAGATACAATCCATTCTTTCTTAAAATAAAGTATTTCAATTTTTGTCATGTTTATTCAGCACTTTGCGTTTTCTCGGTCAGAATGCTTGACAACTACCTTTTTCGACACATGAAAATACACGTTCATAGTTTCTATATGCTGAAAGTGTGCGAAAAAAAAAGACATCATTTGAATATTTTTCGAGTTATCCGGTAAACGAACGTGTGCCGAAAAGTGATTCAGCTTCAAACACTGGATAAAAATGGTTTCTACAAACATGGCAACGCACTCCTCGCAACTTTATTGAAGAAACTGCGAAGGTATACATCATAAATATATATATATAATATTATATTATAACAGTTATTTATTGTACTGGAGTTGTTGGCCGATCGGACACACTTCCGAGCCCAGCCCGCTAGCTCGTGCCTCTGCTGCACACACGATGCTGCTATCCTTGCACCGATCTACTTCTTCATTAGAATTGGCCTCCGTTGGAAAAGGAGGCATCTTGGCGATTTAGCCATCTTCAGGTGTTGCGGAACCGTAATACGGCTTGAGCTTTTGAACATGTACGACCTCGCAGTTGCGACGTCGCATATCAGAAGGTGGTGTGAGAGGCTCAATGGTCGAGACCTCTAGTCGGATCCTTACCTCCACCTGCGCAAGTTTGACGAGAACGCCCTTGAGGCGATTTTCAGGAAGATGTACAAGCGTGCCCTCGGACTCCCAATAACAACGTCCAACCAGTGCCTTATGGACCTGGTGATGGTAAACACTTTGGCAGAGCTCTGGGAGGCACACTTGACCAATCAATGCACGAGTGTTTCGAACGCTCCATATAAAAGTAGATGCACTTTCACACTTGTTTATTCAGCCGACGTTCAGACTTGACTTATGGCAGCAAAACTTGATTATGCTTGTCAATAAGGGCAAATCTATCTAAGCTACACGTCGTCCTTAAAAATGCCCTAGTCTGATTGCCGGCAGATTGAGTCAAGTGATGAGCTCATCCTTTCGTCTGGAACATCATAGACCTCGTATTCTCATCTTGTTGACGGCTGAATAAGGCATAAGTTTTTTTCAAGGCATAATAATATTTACACATTTTCATGTCTTCTTATAGCTTCTTATAGAAGCTATAAAAATAGGATATATATATATATATATATATATATATATATATATATACATGCTTACTGGCATAGTGGCCTATATTTAGAGCAATGACACTGACAATAATAGGCCTCAATTCTGGAAACAAAATCATGAACTCGCAGGGAGGATAAACTCAAGCTATATTTTTTTATCCGTGACATGCACTTCCGCCGTTCATATACGGCTAGGTCAATTGACAACCCCGTTTCAATGTTTACAAATCCCAAAACCACGACATCTGTACTAAAGTCAATTACACGTGCCTTCGTTGGAGCGAGCACAGGTGCCAATTTCCCGACAATATATAGTAGAAAAAAAAAACAGTAATGGCTGACAGAACCACATGACAGAGACTTTCAGAAGACAAGGGCGTTGGAGTGCTATCAGGATTTGTCAGTGCTTGTGGAGAGGCTAGCAGGAAAAGACTGAACGAATGGTTTTATAGTCGATAAACACAGAAGCCAAAAATTGGGTGCACAAGTTGGAGGCACAACAAAATAACAATAACAAATAACGTGAAAATAGAGACAAAGTAAATCGATTTTTTTGCTAGTTTTATTAACGCGAAGTTTCGGCTGGGAGCATTTGCGCTTCCCTTTTTTAAACTCTCATCTTAGTGGAAAACCTGACTTTTGTGTGTTCGGCCACTCCAAGCCATTATGAGACCGCAGCATCGATGTTTGCGTTTGCATTTGGGACCCCCTCCTCCGTATTGTATTTTGCGCTGTTTTTTTTTCTTTTGGTGTTCTGTGTGCCGACTTGACTTATGGCAGCAAAACTTGATTATGGTTTCAATAAGGGCAAATCT